ACTGAATGTTGCAGTAACATCTGGCAAACTGTAGGCACTTGAGTTTGTTCTTGACAGATTCCTTGACAGCAGAGGCTTTCTTCTGGCACCCCACCACCTCCAAATAACTTGTCCTTATTTAGGTGGTGTTTGTGCTTTGGGAGACATTCTGACCACAGGACCTAACTAATGTCTGCAATTCCTGCAGATTCTTTGTCCACTCAAACCATCCTCATCACTGTGCATGGGGTCAGTATAGACAGTATAGGTCCTCTTCCTGAAAGATCTTAACATCTCCAGTTGATTTTAAACTTCTTAATTATTGACCAGATACTCCATTGAAACAGGAAGTCATGTCTGACCATTTAAGTGTTTCTAATCAGTCAGGTGAACTTTAAAACATTTCAGTTAGATTTAGCCAACAGTTGTGGCCCACTTTTGAGAAAAATGTGCTTTATATATATATATATATATATATATATATATACTACTGTTTAAAAGAATCAGTTTTAAATAATAAAGTAATTTTTTAAAGGTACATGTGTAAATGTGTAAAAAGAAAAAAAGAAGAAGAATTTCCCTCTGAGAATAATAAAGTGATCTATCTTAAGAGGTATGCTCTTGTAAAATACAAGCTGCAGTAGAATAACACTAAGAGGGCAGTTAGGAAGCCGGTCTCATTTTGAGGCAGACAATATAGCAGAAATATAATATAATCCTTCAAGAAGTTCCACAATACATGAAATGCCACAGTGTGTTGTTTTTTTTTATTCAACATCTGACCTACTGTGCTACACTAATTCCAATTAAACAGGCCTAAATATGCTCTCTTTATAAAGAAACATGTAGTTTTTCAGTGTTGTAGATGCACTAACAATATTAGCAATATGATCAGAAAAGCAGTATTGTGACATAATTTGACAATAATGATTAAATATTGTCATATTGCCCTGCCCTACCCTCATTGGGTAAGCAATTATGCATTATTTGACTTTGCTTAAATGCTTAACACATCACGTATTCAGTATCCAGCAAGTTTTTAACTAGGCTAATTCTAGGGCTCTGCTAGCTGAGCTAATTCAATATCTTCTATAAAGTCAAACAACAGCTGGGCTGCTGTGTTTGTGTTACAGTTGAATAAGGCTTGTGCACAGTCTGGGTCAGGTATGGAACAAGCACCTCTGTTTATAACCCTGTACAATCCTATAATATACTAAAAGTTTTGATCTTGTTATCTTGATCACATGTTTATTACATTTTTGAGTTTAGCTCTTCTGCTGCAGTGAAAACTGATCATCTGGTGGGCATTTTGGATCTAAGTATATTTGAAAAAGGTTTGTATTCAGTTGGATGGTCATACACTATATTTCCAAAAGTATGTGGACACCTGACCAGCATGCATCTATGAGCTTATTGGACATCGCAATCTGAAACCATGGGCATTAATATGGAGTTACAGTCAGCCTAGACATGTTTTGTGTCCGAACTGTGCTTGTTTAGTTTTGTGCTGGAGCTATGAGACTAATATAGTTTGAATCATAAAAACTAGGGCCCAGCTGCTAAACTGGTTGGCTGGTAAAATCTATTGATATTGAGGTGATAAATTTATAAAGCACAGACACTTATCAGTTAAAGACTGATAAGCTGAGAATCACTATCTACTAATTTTTATCACAACTGAATATATAAATATTACCTTTATTCATTAATAGCTGCACCCCTTTATACATTTATTTTTAGTTTTTTCTAGTTTTGAACTAACCTTTACTTTTCTCAGTGGATGCTGAGAAAATGGCGGCAGCCACTAAACACATGCTCCGGATGTTGACCAGAGAACTGCAGCAGCTAGATCGGCAAATCAGGACTTGCCTGGGGTGGGAGACCGAGCCCCACAAGTGGAAAATGCATTTTGAAGCAGCCTGGGAAGCCCTGTATACGGCGGTTTCACATCTGGTGGCAACTATCACTTGTCCAGACGAATCGCTACATTCACAGCTAACACCAGGATTCCCCAACTTCATGACCACACCAGAGCAAGTCTGGGAAAGCCAGCGTGGCCAGGGAAAGAGAAGGTCTTCACCAAATTCTCCTTTGGCGGACTTCACCTCCAGTAACCAGTTCAAAGCCCTCAGCTGTCCACCTGCTTTAGCGCCTTGGACAACGACTCAGGACAGTGTTCTATTAATCAGACGTTCCATCGTCAGACATCTGAAAGCAGCTGGCTCTAGAGGTAATGCTGCTATCTCGTTTTCCAGGTGCCTGGGTCTTGAATATTTCCAGGCAGTTTCCCACTGCTCTGAGCAAATACGAGGACATTGGCACCGTGGTCGTTCAAGTGGGAATGAATGACACAAGGAGCATTTTGGATTACTTCTACACACCGTTAAGAAGAGAACCGAGGCCAGGATCATCATCTCGGGACCTCTGTCCACCTACCGGAGTGGATGCAAGGTGTTCAGCAGGCTCTACGCAGTTCAATATTGGCTCCAAGGTTGGTGCGAGAACATGGCATTGGCTATGTGAGCAACTGGAGTGCTTTCTGGGAGTGACCGGCCTTTTACTGCAGGGAAGGATTACACCCAATCCGCCGTGGGTCTATCATTAGAGAAGGTACTACACCAGGCCTTACTGGACATAATGGCAATAAACAACAGATGGGTAAGTAGTAAACACAATGGAGGTATTGTCTATGACATACTGTCTGTGATTGGTTTACTCAATGTAAAGGTCACTAAATGACAAAACGCTTCTGATTTGAGATCTTATCAGAAAGCATAAGCTTGAATTTGTTTCTGTCAGAAACGTGGCAAAGTGAAAATAGCACAAACTCTACTTGAAGCTGCTCTTAAAAGCTACAGCTTTATGCATACAGTAAGACTGGGCAGGCGAGGAGGAGGAGTGGCATGTATTTATAATAGTGACTAAGTGGAAAAATCCCACTATTGGTGAATGTATGTCTTAAGTATGTTGCAATCAACATTTTTAGTGATACTTTAATGTTACTAATTGTGATATATAGACCTCATAAGAGAAATTAATGTCAATCGTATCCACAAGCTATGATAAAATTCTTCTTTCTGGGGACTTACATAGTGATAGTCCATCAGGCAGTAATGCATTAGAATTCATTAGACTTCTAAAGACATTTGATTTGAAGGAGGTGAAATGAAATAATTTCACCATAGAAAATATAAACAGCATTCTCTCTCTGCCAGTTTATAGTAAAAACATCATGGAAAATACAGATAATAGTTAAAAGAAAATCATGACAGGCTTTAACATGCACTTTTTAGCAACACTGGAAATCTATTCCTCTTGAAAATGAAATTTATTAATGTGCAGTTTCCTATTATGGTTATGTTGTAACAATAAAATTTGTGATAGTCAGTGGATCCTGGCTGCCAGTGGACCCTGAGCCACAATGGAAAGGAAGATGATGACAATGTTCCACAGGTGATAATAACTGTGTTGGGTAAGAGAACAGACAGAGAACTAGAAAGGACTCATTTGAATAACACTTTTACATAATGCTTTATTTACGTCTACTGTTAAAACAATGAAATATTAAGGGACATCAACAAAGAGTTAGACTATGGTAGAGAATTGTCCACTGTCTTTGCTGGGGGTTTCCTTAGACTACAACATACCATTCTCAGCGTTTTCCATACAGCTTCAGTGTGCCGAAAGTTAAGCTGTGCTGTAAAATTAAAACATTGAAAAGCAAATCCAAAATGAATGGGTTCCTAATAGGGATATATCGATACCAATGCAGGTATCGATTATGGGCCCAATACAGTGCTCATTGGATCAGCTCTATCTCGACTCCCCCAGACTGGACTAACATTGGTTCGTTTGTGACGATGCTGCCTGTGCCACGGTAATCTGCTGCTCTCCTAGCCATTTTGACCATTCTTCATCCCATTCAGCCCTCTGTCCCTGGGAGCCATGTCCTTTTGCCATCGCTGGCCTTTTGGGGCCTTAAATTTGAAGCAAGTGATTTTCATCCAATGTTATAACTGAACGACCATGCTGTTGCCAACAGGATACTCCATGTCAAGTGACTAGAGCATCTTCCAACTGCCTCAGTCATGACACCCATCAACTCAGCAACTGCCCTCTAACAGCCATTCCTGCTCCATTTTATTCCGTTCGGGAGAATACAGTCTGCTTTACTCTCATCCAGCCCCTTTGCCTGCCAAGTTTAACACAATCTACACAATCTGGTGTCGACCAGAGGAGGATGGGTTCCCCTGTCGAGTCCTGGTTCCTCTCAATATTTTTTTCCTCACTGGAAGATTTTCCTTGCCACTGTCACCCTCAGCTTGCTCATCAGGGCTTCAGACCTGGTTAAGCAGCATGTCACCATGCCACCATCAAGATGTGACACTGAATCAAATTTATCTGCTTAATTTTTCTTCTCATCGCATTCTTCTCTTTTCTTCCTAGGCTAAACTTCTCCACCAAGCCCTGTTAACCCTAGCGCACTCTGTCTAACTCAGATACCCCAATGCAAGACCATCTGAACAACACCTGATTCTGAATCCTGCTCCTCCATATTCTACTGGCATACACTCGTACCAGATTCTCTACCCAAGCTGCTATAGTTCTTGTCACTTCAGAATCAGCTGTTGCAGGACAGAGATTGCTAGACCTCTGTCCTTTCTCATCATGTGAAGATCACACAGTCCTAGCCTTCAACAGACCTCAACTCCAGCCCCAGTTCTCAGAGTTCTCCCTCACCCTCAATCAGTCTTCCCTCATAGTACCACCCCATGTTGAAGGCACGGTCCGAAATCGCATATAGTGCCTTATGTATGTTCAAGAAAGAAAGTTTCAGCATAAATGACTATAAACATATTAGACTTTCATTTATAGCTCCATTTATCCCTCATTTTTGAGGACTCACATGTGGGTCCACTCATATTTTTGTTAAAATGGGAGAAGCAGGAAGTGGCTAGGTTCCCCATAAACTGACCCTGTCCACACCAAGGGAGCTCTAAAATGCATGTGTTTGAGTCATAAAATGAGGGGAAATAGTTTTCAAACACTGTTGAATTAATCAGTATTACACTGCTTAATGTGTAATTTCATAAGACAGTATAGAAAGAATGTCTATGCTGTAGCGGGCTGTGTGTGTATTTGGGGCTATGTGTGTTTACTGGGGCTAGTAGTTAAAATGCCAGGCTCGAAAGCTTGTCAGGCAGTAACTGAGGGCTCAGAGCTTAGCAAAGACTCAAGTCCTTGAGTTCAAGCATCCAGATAGATTTAAAATTTGAATATTATTTCTGCACTCAACTCTGTACTTAAATCCCTATCTTGTTAAAAATATTGTTAAGGGCAATGCTGTACTAATAGGCTAGCAGTGTGAAATATTACAATATACGATTCCAATATTTTAAACATGGAAAAATCAGTTTTTTACTGTTCACTCTCATGTAGACTAAATTAGACTTTTCTCACAGATTCCAACTAAAAGGTAACCACAGGGATAATCGGCCCAGGTTGACGCATGTTCAGATCCAGCACCTCTATAGCCAGTCATAGCACAGTCCTCATTTTCATCATAATTATTGGGTTCCCCCTTCCACCAGAACCTGAAACACAGAGAATCAGATTATCTTCACTATTACATTTCTAGACCTTCTTAGAATAACTGAATAACTGCATCATGAGCAGAGATCAGTTCAGTGGTCTCTTACTTAGTGGCCAGTGCTGAGCCATCCACCCATTTCCAGACCCCCTCTGTGTCAGTGTCTGTCAGACCAATCCAAGCTTCAGTTCTGCCAGATGCTTTAGTGATGAACTCCTGACATGGTACAGTATAGCACAATGTAAATATATACAGCTGAAGAAGAGTAGTCTCTCTCTCTCTCTCTCTCTCTCTCTCTCTCTCTCTCTCTCACACACACACACACACACACACACACCTGTTCTTCTCTGCTGTTTATGATCACCAGGTCTGCTCCTCTCTCTGTGCAGTACTGTCTGCTCTCACTCCAGCTCTTCTTCTCAGTAGAGATGTAGTAGAAACTCCTTTGGGGACACCTCTGTTTTTGCTCTTTAATAGAGAAAATCTTGCATTAGTAGATCAGTTCAATTAAATGGAACTTCCTTCTGATTCTTCAGATTTTCTGGATAATTCAGTCATTGAGAAGTTAATGCTCCATCTTTATGAATGTTACCGAGTCAGAATTATTCACAGTGGTGGTGACAGGAACTATTCATTCAAAGTGTTTACTGCCTCTGAAAGCTACATCACAGAAAACTGTTACATGAAATGGTTGTAAATATGCTGCTTGATGTCTGAGACACTGTTTTACAATAGATTTGATATTAGCTTTGGATCTAAGACAATTTTAATAGTGTCTTGTAAGGCAAAAGAGTACCAAAAGAAAAATGTCCCAGATTTACCACTGTTTTACTCTTATCAAGATTATATATAACTCTGGACATGAATAGCTGACACTTTGGACAGCAAAAAATGGCAATATTTGTGTTGGAGAGAGTGTGACCTGTTTCTTCTCACTCCCTTACAAAGAAAACCAAGTGGGTATGTTTGTGTACAATGAACCACAATTTCACATTAAACCACTATGAATGACTTTGTTTACATCTTACTGACTGAATTATGCAGATTTTGATAAATCAGTTTAAGTGAATTATAAATATCCACTCACACATAGTGTAATTAGGTTTGCCTCAGAAGTCTCAATGCACAGTGTGAGTGCAATTACATAGACAACACAATATGTGGTACAGTCTGGAACTATATATAGCATGAGAGGTTGTTGCTCTCATATATTCTGTAATTGCCTGTATGCCCTGTCACCTGCATTACTAGCCCAGTTATAGTTTAAAGGTTAAACTAATAGGAAAATGTCAAAAACATCAGTAGAGAGAATTGTAAGCAAATAAAGTTCCTAATTCATTGTTCTCTATAGTAAAACAAGGTTACAAAAATAAGGCTTAAAAGACTGTTTTGCCCGGCTCACTGTTTGACTTTGAGATTTTTATATACATCATAAATGTAACATAGATGTTCAAACATCAGGGGCTTCAGAAACTCAGAAGCTGCACATTGGCTCTTTATCTCAAAATAATAAAGATAATATTTTATGAGGTGTCAGTAATATAATTCTCAAAAAATAGACCCACATGATATTCATTCTAAATCATCTTATTTTACTGTAAACACAGATAAAAAGATACACTTTCCATTAAAACTACTATTCTGAAGTGCGTCAGAGAAAATGCGTCAAGTGATAGAACTCCATATTAATGTCCATGGCTTACAGAATGGGATGTCCAACCATCTAGTATTGAGGCAAAATTCATTGTATTGAAAGTTAGCACTGAAAATGTCACGTATAGCAGATAATCCGAGTATAAATATGAACTAGTCATGGTAACAAGTTTTAAAACTGTCCTACCTCAATTCATCAACCAGGACTTTCCTCTGATGAGGTTAAATTGTATATACAGTGATCTTTTCCTGCTCGTTATGAGATGGTGCGGCATTTTTGCACAAACATTTCATTAAAAGTGAAATAATTCCTACACAAACCGCCAACCAGTTGTACCAAAAATGTAGCTTAAGTTGTCAGCTTCACAAAGCAGCTTTCAGATTTAAAATTGGTTGGATTGAGATATAATGCTTTAAGTCATAGCAGTCACTGTTACTATGTACTAATGGGACAGGTTGTTATAGCATTTGTAGAACTGGCACTGATGTTGATATCCAAGTCAGTCATATTAGTCTGCTATCACGGCAGTCTTCACTGTTGTCTACCAGTGAATATAAAACACCAGCTTAAATCTTACATTCACATCTCTTCAATAGCAAAAAGGATAAAAAATATTCAGGGAGTCCATTAGTTCTTGCTCTGACTCATGTAGACCAGGAATTTGGAGACACAAATAGGTATAATCTGAAATCATCTGTGTCAGACACAGACTGAAACAGGTTGTGCCTGGTGCATCAAGAAAACCAGTCATTATTACCAACATTTCTTTCATGTGTATGTTACCTGCGCATTAGCCCCTGGTTGGCTCCTTTAACTATCCAACCATTATGTGGAATGCTGGTAAATAGCCCTTCAAGCCCATACAGTACATCACGTGCTGAAAAATGTGCACCAGATGCAATGAGGCAGTTGGGCCTTCTTATGAACACTACCGACTCTACCCCTATTTTAGAGGATCAATTACTAATAAGTTTCTGACTACTAGTTGATGGGGGGAAAAAAAAATCAAGAAAGCAAAGCAGCCATACTACTAGAATGAGGTGGAGGAATTGCAGTGCTGTAGCTCAAAACAGTGGTTCAAGTGTGTTAAAGCACTTATGGAGATGATGATGGGTGGGCTGTGGTACTTCAAGACCACACCATCTTGCAGAGTGAGTGTGACTCTCTGGCCAAACATTTTGCTTCAATATGGGACCAAGTGGTCTACACTATTCCATCTGAGGAGGATGACTCTGCAAAATTAATGAGGGGGAAAGCAGCTGGACTGGACTGCACTCCCTCTTGGGTTTTAAAGACTTATCATGAAGAACTGCCTTGAATTCTGTGGTTGAATGGGAACAAGAGTTTTCACCGACAATGAATGAACCCAAGACTGGATATGGTAATCAGAGCCAGGAGAGAGGACTACATCCCCTCTCCACGGTCTCCATTAATTTCTAGAAAAAATATCAGTAGAGTTTCCTCCTGTAATCTGCTCGGAGTTCAGATATCATCTGATTTATCTCGGGGTGCCTACATTAATTAATTATTTGCTCTCAAAGACAAGGCCAAGGATTCATTACCGTAGTGTTGCCAAAAGAGGCAATTTTTTCTTCTAAAAATGTGATCTTCTAAAACAGACACACCTGATCTTCATTAGTCCCTCAGTATGTTAGCCCAGTCTGGGTGGGCTGACAAAAGGCCTCTCAGGCCTGGAACTAGAGAGGATACAAAAATTATGCTGTAGTATCATCGGCATTCCAACTTCCTCTGCGCATCGTTCACAACATAAGGATAGTTCAACCCCCCCCACCACATGATTTTCTGCCAACAGCCTCAACACCCAGTTACTCGCTTCATTGGTTAAGGGGAATATCTAGTGCAAACAAGCAGAACTTAAAGACATGAACTTTCTTTTATTCCTCATACTTAATTAAATGACGTAGGTCTTTTAGGGTTTATGCTCTTAATTTTATCCTCATATTAACTTGTTCCTGCTTATGATGTACTGTAATGTTTGACGCATTTCATGTTTCACTGTTTAAAAACTGTTTTTATGCTGTTGTACCCTGCCTTTTTAAACGTTAATAAATGAAACAAACTTTTACTGATTTAATAGATTTTAACCAGTCACCTGTAGCACAGGGCCCACAAGCAGGTTAAATCACCTCTGACAGTAATGAGAAGGCTGTAGAAGTGGATAGCAATTGGAAGAATGCATGACAGGCATGAAACATTAAACTGTACAATATGGATTTAAACCCTGCTGTCTGTTCTTAGCAGAGTGATTCCAGAGTGGTTTCCTATGATCACTAATTTGAGCTTTATTTACTCACCTAATTCTGACAGTTTCTTCTGAAGCGTTTCCTTTTCTTTCTGTAATTGGCCCATCTCATTCTTCATGTTGACATTATTGCTCTGTAACTGGTCTCTCTCTGTAGTCAGCCTGGTGTAACTGGTCTGTAACTGGTCTCTCTCTGTAGTCAGGCTGGTGTAACTGTTCTGAAACTGTTCTCTCTCTATAGTCAGGTTGGTGTAACTGGTCTGTAACTGGTCTCTCTCTGTAGTCAGATTGTTGAACATGACCCACAGCACTGTGATGGCAGCCAGCAGGAGAACACACAGCAGCCCCAGACACACTGCAGCCAGTCTGTAGCATCTGATCTCTGCCATGTTGATTCTGGAAACTAGAAAAATATACAGTAATATTCACCAATTCAGTCTTTTCACTTTAACTAAAATCATGACATTTCTGTGATATATAAAATTGGGTAATGCTTTACAGGAACTACATGTACATGAATCAGGGTGCGCTGGCTGGCTATGTAAAGATCCGGGGCTCAGCTGGTTTATGAGGAGCTTGGCCACTTCCTACCACTTGCCCAGAACTTTCCTTTAGTTTTCCTTTAGTAGACAGTAGAAGGATGTATTTCACAAAAAATGCCAAGAAAACGTACCGAAATATTTTTTTTTTTCTACAGCAAACAGGTTTTGGACAGGACGCTAGCATTACTGCTACTGAGTGCTGACTGGTTGGTGAGCAGAGCAGCTTTGGACTTGCTCGGGAGCGCCCTCTAGTGTTTGAGAGGCCCGGAAGACATTATGGAGTTGTAATTCTCCTCTCTACAAGTTCTCTAACAATACTCCACAATGTGTGTTTGAAAACAGGCAGTTTATGTACTGAGGAAAACAGGTATGAATAATGAAGAAGCGAAGTATTCTGGGAGTTGTGGTCTGAGGCGGACGTGTCAGCTGTAGTTTCAGCTAGGCCAGATGGAGGCGTGACAGTACAACAAGTTCAGGTTAGGCTTGTTTTAAAATGAGGTGATTTTTTTTTTATGTAGGAGATTTAGCTTTTTACAGAAAAAAATTCTCTCTCTCTCTCTCTCTCTCTCTCTCTCTCTCTCTCTGAGTTTGAGGAGTGGGTGAATGTTCCCCTGTGTAATGTTATAAGGTTGGAGGCTGGTTAAAAAACATTTGGAGCTACAGCCCTGGAAGCCCAGGCCAGGTGATGCCCCTTCATGGCATGTTCATAAGCAACATCACCCTGAATCAAATACAGTATAATTTTGAAATATAAATTAAATATTCATTAAGGAGTAAAAAGCAGAACACTGTAGAGTGTCTGTTCTTCCTGATTTGTCCCTATTAGAACCTGTAAGAGCTAGATCAGTTTATTGTCTTAAGTGACAAATGACCATAAGCAGTGTAAATTCTTTTTAAAACTTTCATGAAATATATATATATTATATATATTACACACACACACATACGTAACTGTATAGTGTATTACAGTTACCTATCACCTTATGAAATGTTAGTGAATAATTTTTTGGCACAAGTTCATGTAATATATAGATCATTCTAGCAAACTGGTTCAGAGTTGATAATATTTTTCAGACTTTTAACTGAATTCGACTTTAGACTCAAATCCTTTTGGTTTTAGTCTATCTAAAACGTAAGCTTTAAAACCTACTATTGGCCTGCAAGTTCTTGTCAGCACATTCCTGGTTTGAAGGAGCATCACAGGGTGCCATTTGGTATAAGTGTGTGTATGTGTATATATATATATATATATATATATATATATATATATATATGTGTGTGTGTGTACCTGAGGTCACAGTACCTTTACGGCTTCTGGTCACACCCGTCTCTGGGACATCTTCACTGGCGTCGATGTCCTCATAATCGTTGCTGTCGTGTGAATGAGTTGATGTGTTGTCTGTTGTAATTCCTGAATTTGCATATATATCCTCATTAACCTTCAGCCCTTTGATCTTCTGTAAACGTGTTGATGCCATTAAGTGGACTTTTGCTTTGATTTTTGCTGTTTCTGCAGATTTGAAGCCTCCACTACAGTCTTCAGCTCTCAAAGTGACTCTGTGTGGGTGATACTGCTAAATACATACTTGCTCTCAGGACAGGAAGTTTAGGCATTTCATACCAGCTTTGACACCCATCTCTGTCACTGCTCTCTGTCTCCAGGAACTATTTTTTTTTGTTTGTTTGTTTCTAACTGGAGAGATAAGTTCCTGTGGTTTGTGCTCTGTGTGAAAGGTTAAAGTTGTCATTGTGTCTGTTGTCATTTCTGAGTATAGACGTGAAAAAGACATTGTTCAGATACAGTCACCTCTAGGCCTGGGATTAATAACAGACAGAGCTACATAGGTGTGTCATGGAGGGAGTTGGGAGATTAGAACGATTCCAAGGACCTCAAATAGATACAAAGACTGTATTTTTTTGCTCACTAAAAGATTTTTTAATTGAAATGCTTCATTCATTAAATAATAATTGAAGTCTACTGCTTTCGAGAAGCATTTTAAAAACTCAGCAGTATACAGTATGTTGATATGAAGTCAGGTTGTTTATGTTCACAGCTTGTTCCATGCTCAGTTCTCAGGGAGCCAAAAATACCCAAAAGCACCTTTGTGCTGGTCTGCGTACCACTATGTGTTCACATGACCTCATCATCTATATTAATGAGAGTGCATTAGAAACTGACCTGTGAGCTCACTAAAGAAGTGAGATTGTGACAGATAAGACCCTCTGTGGTTGGTCTACAAGTCACATCGTTGTTGTATATGCAGAGGGACTTCACATGGTTGAGGTGTGAATTCAGCAGCACAAACTTTCATGCTAGTGTTGCACATACTTTGGTCTTCAGAACAGCACAAACTCGCCTGGCCAAAATGCTGGAATATCCAGGAATATTGCACCACCTAGAATTGATTGGGGCCTTTTAACTTAAAAACTGTGTATCAACAGCAGCTGGTCAGCTAACTACACCACAAAACATGCAAAAAACAGACATATTTCTTCCTTCAGAATGACTGAGTTTAGAAAGAGCTGTCTGATGTCCACAAGTATTCCCACATTTTTAATTCCAGAGTGGGCAGTTGTTGTTGTTTTGTTTATTTAGGGTGAGAAATGCCTTTTTCTTGTTTTCCTCTGTGCGTTTGGTGGCCGTCTTGTGTGACAAAGTCCCCGCCATGAACACACTAAAAGTAGAAGCACAGCTGTTAATGTTGTAAGTATTTACAACAGAGACAAACTGCAGAACCATTTTTCCTAAAGTCCGCATCACCCCATGCAGAGACAAGGGAAAAGCTATGGAAAGTTTCAGGATTGAGTTGAGAGCGAGGGGGCCAAAGACGACAAAAACATCTGGGTTGGTTGCGGCTCAAGAAATTTGAGAAACACTATTCTATTGTGTGCTGTCCTTCCAAAACCTCCTATATTGACCTTTTTCTCTTTTTTACATTAACCTGCTAAGATGTTTGTCCACCAGTGTGACTTAAAGAAGATTTTATAATTAAATCAACATACAAGCTACAATGTGGGTGAAATGACTGTTACTTCATAATATTCATTTACATCATTATGAACGCCCTGCCACCATTTTGGAAGGCAGCTGTAACTCTGAATATGCTCTGGTATCGTTTCTCATCTCTGTTGCTGCAGCTACAACCCTACAGGTGGCTGTAGACCAAGTTAAGTAGACCACAATGACCACGAAAATGATGAAAAGATATGAGGACAGCTTACATACAACCTCTAGAAAAACCTACCGTAAGATTGTCTTGATTGGTGGACTGGATCCATATAGCCTACTACACTAAAGAGTGTACTTCTAATGGTACTGCACTGTTTTTAAATAGTATTTAGTGGGTAGCCCTGTCTGCACTCAAGGACGCCAATGTGGTCCCACCTGCACCAGAGAACATGTGTGAGGCTTCGCCTGTACCTGAGGATGTTGGTGCGGCGATGCCTGTGTCTGGTGCGGCGATGCCTGTGTCTGCTGTGGAGTCCCTGACCTGTCTGCCTCTGTGCCTTAATCCCAGTGGCTGAAGCTGTGAAGTGGAAGTTGGGCCAGCAAATTCTCTTTGCTTCTCAGCTCAGGTGCTCAAGCAGCCCTTAATGAAAGCCAGCTGAAGCTGATTTGGCTTTAGACTGTTAAAAGTTAAGGAGCTATACCAAAATAAGGAGCAAGGTCAAAAAAATGTTCTGCTACAGGAAATGAGGTGAGGCGAGGGGTCTAAAGTTCTCAGGGAGCCCAAAATACCTACCAGCACCTCTGCGCTGGTCTCTGTACCATGATGTGTTCAGGCAGCCTCACCATCTATATTAATGAGTGTGCATTAGAAACTGACCTGTGAGCTCACTAAAGAAGTGAGATTGTGACAGATAAGACCCTCTGCGGTGTGTCTACAAGTCACATGGTTGTTGTATATGCAGAGGGACGTCACATGGTTAAAGTGTGAGTCCAATGCAGCACAAACTTTAATGCTAGTGTTGCACATCTTTTAATCTTGGCTTTATCTCATATCAAACATCCTTGTGCTCCCGCATAAAAAAGTTGCCTACCAAAATGGTGGCAGTGTTACTGCGTGACGTCATCAGAATACTATGGATTTTCAGGAGTCGGCATGCATGCAGCTGTTTTGCTTAATAGACCCGGTTGCTTAGCAACCATCATTGCTACATGTTTTCACATGAACGCACCCAGCTAAGACTGACCTTGCGCTTGGGCATAAAGCCCTCCCTGAAAACTGTTAGATATGACCGATTTAGCAGGAAAGAGCATCTTGGCCAAGACCTCTTGGTGCATTTGGCCCCAGTACAAGCCACTGAAGTGATCTGTCATGTTTGCTAGAGGCATGCAGTGAGAACACATGCTTTGTAGCATGATCCATTATGATACTGGAGGGGTCCATCCGAGTGTGGATAAACTGTAGCAATGAATCACTGAAATTAGTCAGCAATTACATTCAAATACACTGTGCTGTTCAGAAATTCTTAAGTGGATATCAGGTCTGAATTCGTGCCTGGAATCAATTCTGCACCACCCACATGTATTGTTCACCAAACCAGATGTTGCTTGCACCAAATTCTGATCCTTC